GAGAGACGGGGGTGGGAGAGAGAGAGGGAGAGAGAGACAGACAGACAGAGGCAGACAGATACAGAGAAAGAGAAAGAGAGAGACAGAATGAGAGACAGAGAAGGAGAGTGAGAGAGTGAGAGAGTGAGAGAGAGAGTGAGAGAGTGAGAGAGTGAGAGAGAGAGTGAGAGAGAAAGAAAGAGAGAGAAAAAGAGAGACAAAACGAGAGACAGACAGACAGAGTACTCACCAGAGGCGTGTCACACCCTCCCACCACGCTGATGCCCAGGTTCTCCGACTGTCTCCTCTGTACCTCTATAGTGGACACCTCGCCCTCCGTCACCGGGTTTTTACCTGACAACAGATGAAGCAAAACAAAAACAAATTTAGTTAAGTTTCGTTTTCGTTAGAGTTTTGCAACTCAATAGGGTCATATACATATTGGTGCCAAGGACAAGAGGGATAAGAGGCTTACGAAAGAGTTTTTTTCTTCTTTTTTTTTAGTAGAGGTTTTACGGCGCTCGCAACTGCATAAGGTCATAATATGGGCGCCAGAAGACCAAAGGTGTTACAAGAGAGTAACAAACCCAAAAAAGAAAAAGGGGAGAGAAAGACGATAGATACTTGATAGAAAAGAAGAAGCAAACCACACCAGAGCACCCGCCAACCACCCACAAAAAAATTTAAGTTTAGTTTCGTTTTAGTTAGAGTTTTACGGCACTTGCAACACAATAAAGTCATATAAGTGCCGAAGAATAGAGGCCTTACAAGACAGTAACATACACAAAAAGAAGAAGGAGAGATAAGGACGATAGATGTTTGATTGATAGGAAAGAAGGAGCAAACCACACCAGAGCATCCGCCAACCACCAAACAACTAATGTTTAGTTTCGTTTTAATTAGAGTTTTATGGCACTTGCAATATAATAGGGTCATATACATATAGTGCCAAGGATAAGAGGCGTTAGGAGAGAGTCACAAACACACAAAAGGAGGCGAGATAAGGATGATAGATGTTTGAGAGGAAAGAAGAAGCAACCACCCCAGAACACCGATCAACCACCAGCAAAAACTTTTGTTTGTAGCTTTTTTGCTTCTCTGAGTAAAGAAAAGCAAATAATATAGTCATTCAGTGCTAGGAAAAAGTTGGACAGACAGACAGACAGACACTACTAAAGGAAAGTAAAGAAGTAGGACTAGGACCTATCAGTGGCGCCCTAAAACTACCCACTGTAGCTTAATTTTTTTCTTTTAAGTAACGATTTTTACATCCAAATCCACCCGATTTAGATCATTTAGAAGGTGGGCTTCGACATGACCATACGACATCACAGACCCAGCTGGGTGGTCAGTGTAATCTGCAGACACTGAGACATACGCCGATAAGAAAATTGAGTTCTGGTAAGGCCTTTACGGCCTTTGCTAGCCAAATAGATCACAGATCACATACATGCCGAAGATTAGAGGTGTTACTAGAGAGTAATATACATATACAAAGAAAAGAACCCCCCCCCCATCCAAGCAGGATTCAAACTCATGTCTTATATTATGTGCCATGCGAGGAACCCAGCCACGACATCACATAATGCAAGTCCTTTCATAAGAGGAACGACAGGAAATCATACTTGTATTTAATAGTGGGAGGAGGAAATCTAATATGATAATAGAAATGTCCGTTTACGTTGCACTGTATAGCTCTTAGAACCTTCTTTAGTTTTAGTTTAGTAGGGGTTTTTCGGCGCTTGCAACTGCATAAGGTCATATGAGCGCCAGAAGATTAGAGCTGTTACAAGAGAGAAACAAACATAAAAAAGATGAAGGGGAGATAAGGACGATAGATGTTTGATAGGAAAGAAGAGGCAAACCACACCAGAGCACCCGCCAACCACCAACTCTTAGAACCTTCTGTGGGTTGGACGCTATATAAATGATTATTATTATTACTATTATT